TCAATTATAAACTTAACCAAACCCTCTTAAAATTGAGATATAAATTTCAAACGACATTTTCAATTATTTGTAGGAACAATCTATCCAAGCTAATCACAAATTCGTAAAATTTCAAATAATGAATTCAAAATTTGAAGCTTTATAATGACCATTAATGGTGAACTCTTGTTGCTATAATTTTACAGATTTGAAATTTTTGCTTGAAAATATGATTTTGTACAATTTTTCATCTATCCATTTCTTTTTCCGTCGTATTTTTTGGTAAAAATAATGAAATATGGGCAAAAATTGATTTGAAGATAGTTATTTATATGAAAATTTCAAAGAAGAAGAAGAATAATTTATTTTTAAAAAAGAAAGAAAAAGAGGAGAAAGATAATAATGACAGAAAAAGAGACAGAAGAACAAGAATTAAAAAAAAAAACGAAGGAAGATGAAAAAGGGTAGAGAAAGAGGCAAGCGATTGTACAATTTCTTAAGTCCAAAAATTTGTTATATTTAGTTAGAAAAATTATATTGTCATAGATGGTAAATATTTCTTTAATATAGCATATTTATGTGATTTACCCTTTATATTATGTGATTTGTATAATATAATTTGTATAACTGTTTTAAGTTCATATGTTTATGTTTGTATCAATTCGTTATTTTGAGTTTTATCATATTTGTATAATTTCAGACTTTGTATTACTCAATTATACAAACGTACCCGGGAATTATACAAACGAGATGTGAATTATACAAGCCCCTCTCGCTCGCCTCTCTCCTCCCTCTCCCAATCTCGCTTGCAGATATACAAATACATATGTATATCACAGCTGTTACATATATACAATATTTTGACAAATATACATAACAATTCGCCTCTCTCCACTCTTTGCCCTCTCTTGCTCGCCTCTCTCCTTCCTCTTCCAATCTCGCTTGCCACTCTCCTCCCTATAACATGTAGCTACAATCGTAATTAGTAAACTATAGTTATGAAGCGTAACTAAGCTATTTTTGGGTGACTATATGCGAAAGTTCCCCTATTATTTTTATAAAGAGCATTTTCGTTTAATGATCCTTACTTAGCCTAAATTCGAATTAATCAAGTTTAAAGTAAGTATTGAAGAGTGGCTATATGTTCACTTATTAAATTAATTTCAAGAGAATACTAAATAAGAATACAATGATATATTTATATAAAATGTGAAATCTAAAATGATGACATATAAATCAAAACGAAGGGAGTAATAATGATGCAAAGTGAGTAAGAAGGGGAAATGAAATGAGAATTTTCATAGTTTGACACCGCCTCTTTATTTTCTCTTCCTTCTCCAAGTCCAAGTGGGAACTTTATTATATATATGTTCACTTCTTTAGTATTATTAGTAATCTTGATAAATATATGTATGTATACACACTTGATAGTACTACTTGTGAAGTTACTATAAGACGGCAGCTGACTCCAAAGCTAATTAACTTGTTTCTAATCTCCAATATTTCATTCATTTTCAAGGTAATCTTTCCCCTCACAGATATATAGTTTCTTTAATGTCATGGTATTGATTTCACTGATCAATATGTACCTGTAATTACTTAACTTCATCTGCTTAATTGCCGTTAAATATGTATTTTTAGAGATAATTAACACTCTTTGTAAATATCTTTAAAGCCTACATCGCATTGGATTTAATAACAATTAACTAATGTGGTAAAAACTCTGTGTATATTTATTGCCGCTAAAAGCTATTTTTGTTGTAGTGATTGTTTGGAGGAAAGTGTTTTTCTTGGTACAAATTCATTTCCATTGTTGGATTGGCTCTTTCATCCATATATACCATGTGTATTTATGGCTATAGTATTTATAACAATTCAGGTGCGCGCAAGCTGGCTCCGACACTGCTATCATAGCAGTTTGTAACACAAGTTCTTAGGTGATCTTTGCTTCTAAAAATTGATACAAGCTGTGCTTCTGAGTACATAAGAAAAAAAGAATGAAGTTTGGGAAAAAATTTAAGGATGAAATGGTGCCTGAGTGGAGTGAGGCTTATATGGACTATGGTGGGCTCAAACACCTTCTGAAAGATATAAACCACTTCAATACTCATAGAAAAGTAGATATTGAGAATCAAGAAAGTGAAATTGGGAAAATCCAACATAAAAATTCGATGAAGTTATCGAATGGAAAGTTGTTTATACCAGCTGAAATGGGACAAAATGAGAAGTCATTTTTCGAAAAATTGGATAATGAGCTTGAGAAAGTTAATAGATTTTACAAGGACATAGTGGAAGAGGCAAAGGGAGAAGCAGATGAATTAGCCAAACAAATGGAGGCTTTGATTGCTCTTCGAAAAAAAGTAAAAGAAAAAGATACCAAGGGAGACAAAGCAGCATCCTCAAAGGTTACTTCTCCAAGCAGGGCGTCGAGTGAAGCTGGTATGTACTGCTATCACCTTATCAGCCATTAGTGTTAGTTATGGCTTAAGTTTTTATTTATAGTTAACTTAATTATCATGCTTTAGTAGTTACTACTCGAACTTCATTACCGGTTGTTAGGGATATGGTTAGCATTTTTGGAGGATCTGAGCAACATAACTAGTCTACGCATGTTCCATCAAGCGTACACTTAAAAGGCTTGTTGATCATGAGTGATGGTGAATACAAATAGAAATGAGAGCCTTAATAGGAAATTATACCCTAATCCTATTGAAAATATGCACAGTTCTCTGTTTGTAGATTATGTACTAGGACAAATCAACCAATGATTATAAGGATTCGTTGAAATGATATATTAAATTGCTATGTATAGGCTAACTAAGAACATTTTAAAATAGTTCAACTATTGATATTACAGTACAGAAATGTTCATAGCTTACTCTATTCTGTTCAGCCATATATATAAGCAGCATGACAAAACTTAGCCTCCACTGAATGAGTTTAGAATCCTGTAGTTTCGTATTTTCATTGTGATGGCATTTAATGTTGCCGTAAGATATGACACTTGGGCCTAACTCAAACCTAAAGTTATCTCACGAGGGGACGTTTGCCTAAGCCAATATAAGGAGACCACTTAGTCCATTTCCAACCGATGTGGGGAATCTAACTCGAGCTCAACAGCAGCAAAGATCCAGACTGGACAAGCATTATATGTGAACCACCAGGGTTCATGGGCTAGTAGTGAAAATGTCGTGGACATTCTGATTGTAACCGTCTATTTCATGAGATTTTCTGTCTCTAACTAGATGTCCAAATGCAGAGCAAGACCAACTAGACTTCAAAGAAGAAGTGGACAAGTTTGGTGAGAACATCATAAAACCAGCTTCTTCTCCAAGCGAAAATAGAGATCCTTCGTTAGGTGAACATGGACGCACTCCCTCAGACGTTCTTGAATGTGTCAAAATTCAAAATACATCCGACAATCCAAAATCATCGGTAGAAAGACTATTTCTTGGTAACACAGAGAAAGAATGTAGCTTCAGTCAAGAAGAGCTAAAGGAGATTGAAGAAAAGTTGAAAAAGGCCTTTGTTGAGTTCTACCAGAAACTTCGCCGCCTAAATCAGTACAGGTTCTAAGAAAAGGATCTTAACTTGAACATCTTAAATATCAGATATTTTGGTGCTTCCAATTTCTCTTTGACGTTTATTCTGACTCTTGTTTCAATGATGAACCAGTTTTATGAACCTCTCAGCATTTTCTGTGATCCTGGAAAAATATGAAAAGGTCAGACTTCTATTCGTGAAGTAGGCATAGAAAATTGCATTCTGTGAGAATTCACAGTTGTAGTAGTACTTCTTTAGTTATCACTAATTGACCATAATTTGCATGACTGGCTGACTGCAGATTACTTCAAGGAAAGTGATGAGATCGTACATGAAAATCGTGGATAACTCCTATATTGGAAGTTCTGATGAGGTATGTTCAAATCCACTGAATCCAATAAAGGGATTTGGATTTTTTACATTTTCTTAGGTAAAAGGAAGTATGTTAAAGAAAAAGAGCATACATGTTGATAAGAAAAAGCTATTCTATGGACCAAATAGCTTACTCTTCAATTTAAGTGTTTTAAGTTAACACTATTTTACTGGTTCGAAAAGTACTCCATATGCTATCTTAAAATACATCCTATTTCTAGTGTGCTGCAAACGAATGTGAAAAAGGACATTACTTGAGGGTATATGTTGAAATGTTAAAAATCCTCTTAATATTTAACACTGATAAGTATGATGTTACAAAGACGAAAACTGTTATAAGATGGAAACTTGTAGTACCCTTGATATGTACTACCTTAAACTTGCATGTCTTGTCTCCGAGATTTGTTATATGCACTATTATATATTCACTTAGTTTATTTTCCATGTTCTAGGTTACTAGTCTTCTGAACAAGGTAGAAGCAACAATTGTCAAGCACTTCAATTCTGAACGGGGGGACGACATCAAATTAGTAAGGCAGGAAAGGAAAAGAGAGAAACACAGCATTTGGTTTCTTTCAGGTTGAGAACTTCTCCTTTGTTAAAGATTTTACTTCATAGTTTTCGACATCTCTTTAGCTTATAGATTCATAAGACTTGTTGAGGAAGAAGATGAGGTTATCATGGCTTCTAATATATCGATCATTTCAACGTGTAGGATTCTTCTGTGGATTCTCAGTTGCTCTAATTATGGCTATTGTGTTAATCATACAAACAAGAAAGTTATTGGACAAGGAGGAGGCTACAGTGTATTTGGATAGCATCTTCCCTCTTTACAGGTTAATTTTTTTTTCGGATCTTCAAATAATCCGCGTTTAAAATGAAAGAACACAGCTAGATTCACCTACTTATGGCCTATATTGCTGTGCCTCTGTCGGATCCTTGAAAAATGCACTACTTTTGGAGGATATGACACACGTTCCCGGCAGCATTGTATGAAAAGTCCGAGCATCATCATGACGTATGACCTTCTCAGTTTTTTCCTGATACCTTAAAGTTCTCTTGCAGTTTCTACGGTTACATCATCTTACATATGCTTATTGGTGCTGCAAATGTATACTTGTGGAGATGCTACAGAATCAACTACTCGTTTATACTTGGATTCAAGCCAGGAACCGAATTAGACCACAAGGAAGTTTTTCTTTTAGCCTCTGGTCTTGCAGTTCTTGTACTCACTGCTTGCCTGGTACAGCTGCATATCAGGATGGACTCGAGGATCCAAGAGCATGAGACATTTGTCGAACTGGTTCCTTTGGGCTTACTCATTGTAAGATTTTATATATAAAGTTAAATGCTGGTTGAACACACTATCATTTACGTTTTGTTTGATCAATCCTCTGATTCGAATGCAGGGCTTAGTTCTCATATGTCTGTGTCCTTTTAACATCATCTATCGTTCAAGCCGTTTCTTCCTTATTCAGAGTCTATTTCGTAGCATTTGTGCTCCTTTATACAAGGTAGTTGATTCTACTATGCTAGAATTCTATACACGTAGAGTATACGACTTTTGGTTGAATTTACGAGTTGATAGTTTTCTTCTGCAGGTCAATATGATTGATTTTTTTCTATCAGACCAGCTAACCAGCCAGGTTTCTTACTTTATTGGGTGATATGGTTCTTGTTTTTCTTAATTTGGATTTCTGACCTTCCTTCTACATCTTCTTGACCTCAGACACAAGCGATAAGAAGTTTCGTATACTACATTTGTTATTATAGTTGGGGGAAATCCTCTACAGGACGAAAAATGTGCCACGTTAGTGATGTGTATATCGTCTTCTATTACATTTCAGCTGCAATTCCTTATTGGATTCGCTTCTTCCAGGTACTTAACATTCATCATGATCTCTGCATTTGCATATCCGCGTTTACTTGGTTGATGGTTGACCAAATTAATGTGCAGTGTATGCGACGATTAATCGAAGAGAAAGAGATGAAGCATGGATTCAACGGTTTCACCTATTTCTCAATGCTACTGTCAGTTGTTTTTCAGTCAACATTCAGACTACGGAAAAAAACGACTTGGAAAGTGTGGGCTTTGGTTAGCTCAGGCGTGGCAGCTCTGGCAAACATATCTTGGGATATCAGGATGGACTGGGGTCTTCTTCAAATGAAGTCAAGAAACTTTCTTCTGAGAGATAAGCTCTTACTTCACCATAGAACTGCATATTATATAGCTATGGTAAAGTTTCCAAGTTAATGAAAGCACAGATAACTATTTGCTAAAATCTAATATTTTTCCTACACATTTGATGGTAGATTCTTGAGGTTCTCCTGAGATTTGTATGGCTGCAAGTAGTATTGAGTTTTGACATGCGCCCACTACGTGGTAAAGTCATAACAAGCACATTTGCAAGCTTAGAAATTCTTCGTCGAGGCATTTGGAACTTCTTTAGGTAATTTTACTGTCCCTCAAGTATACAATGGTATATCTTTTCTTCATTGGAACATAACAAAGGAAAGAAAATGGATACGTTATAAGTTATGACTTCTCTCTCAGATTGGAGAATGAACACTTGAACAACGTTGGGGAGTACCGAGCATTCAAGTCACTCCCACTGCCCTTCATTACAGACGACGACAAGGTTGGCAAAAATGAGTAGGATGATTCGAGTCTGCTTAATACCTGTTCTGTTTCATCAAAAGATGAATGTGTAATAGCTTAGAGTACCCTTTTCTGTGAGGGTGGTATACATTTTCAAGTATTGCTACTATGCAAGAATTTTCATTCATACTGCAAAAAGGAATAAGAAAAGAGAGAGGGGAAGAAATCTATATGTACATCTGAACATGCATCTTTATACACAGATTTTTACTTGGTGATATACTGAATATCTCATGCCAATTCCTGTTTCTTCTCTTTTTGCACTTTCAAGTAACTACAAACTATCAATCCTCTCACTAAGTGAGACAACTTTGATGGTTGCAATCATATATTTCACCCTCGAATTATCATCTACATCAGTGAAAAGAAAGATAAAAAGGGGAGAAGAGCTTCGTTCATCTAACTCCATTTTCAGTTGGTGTACTTCCATGACAGCCCCCGGTGCACGGTGGTATTACCATTCTTCTTTTGATTTCAGAGTGCTCCGCTGGATTTTCTTGAACTTCTCAAAATAGTTGCTTCCATCAGAATCAAAGTCACAAATGGTACTCTGTCCTGGCCTATTTTCCTCATCAAGGTCCAGGATAAAGGCATCGCCTTCTAAAGCACGAACTACCTGAACAATAAGTAGGAAGGTTTTGGTTTATAAACCCCTTTAAAGAAATCCGCCAGCACTAACAGAAAAAGATTAAGAGAAGATGTTATTACTTGACTCATCCGCGGTCTTCTCCGTGATGAATGACGCACACAAGCAGCAGCACAAGCAATCATGTTAGCCATCTCTTCACTGTTATAATTTTGTCCCAAACATGGATCTACTAGGGCGTCCAATTTTCCATCATCCAATGCACTTCTAAGCAAAGGCCTTGCCTGTGTATCAGAAAGAGTCTTCTTATGCTATGTACAAGTGGTATACTATAAGAAGAGGGTTGACAACAATGATATCCATATCTTTGAAAATGCATTTAAGCATCGGCCTAGAGATGCTTCTAGTTCCCAAAATATTTTGTTATTTTGCTACAAGAAACCAATATGTTGATCAAGAAATTTGTGTACATCCAGTTAATAAACGACACTCAAAAAGTACTTAATCAAAAACCAAGAATATGAAAACCAGAAACTACGGTAATGATTCCTAATACAAAATATTGTATTTGATGACGAGGTTATGAAAAAAAATGCCCCGGAAGAGGTGTAAAGTTAATTCTGATTAACTAAAGTGACATAACTAATTCTGTCTGTGAGTAGGCAGCATGCAAGAAGCTGCTAACTCTGAAATCCGTCTTTCTGATCTCAATTTCGAATTAACTTATGTAATTAATTCTGATCAATTGTGGGACTTAAGTAGAACCAACAGTAATAATCTTTGAGATCAACAAAATGATTCCAGGAACCCGTATCTCCAAGATTTCCTAAAAAGGGAGCCTTATTTTGGGAAAATTTGATAGAGTATGATATCAAATTCATGGTGAACTCCATGCTTTAAGACTGAAACTTTGGACAAACTAATAGTTGTAAAAGATGCAACAGAAAACTTGAGATATGTTCCATCATCAAAACGGGTGTCCAAAAGCCAAATCATTTGGTACAAGGATGACAAATTTCTTTTAAAAATTTGTAAGATGGACGTGAATTTTTATGCCTTTGGCTTGACAGAGATGAACTTTTCAAGAACACCAGATCCTTTTGATTTGCACATTTCTTTTGTACAAGGACGGTGGTCTGCCAAATTCTGATTTTAAGCCAATGCTTTTCCATGGTTCTTTTTTTAAGTGATTGATTAATACAAACAACAACAACAACATACCCAGTGAGGTCCCACAAGTGGGGTCTGAGGAGGGTAGAGTATACGCAGACTTTACCACTACCTCGTGGAGGTAGAAAGGTTGTTTCCGTGATATTGATTACTGCCGTGATAAAATTTCTCAACCATTTATCACTCGCAAAAAAGAAAAGCAATAAAGGATAAAACCACCCAGTACTTCTAAAACCACAAATGATAAACCTTCCGGAGGATCAAGATCTCTTATAAATAGAAAGGCCACCTCAGAGAATTGCATAAGCTGTGCTTGCATGTTCTGCCTCAGATTAAATACAGTGCATACATAGCTAATTAAGGATAAGATTATAGTAAGATGAATGTTATTCCATATTGAGGATTTGATTAGTGTAGTTGGACAGAAAGTAAATTTAAGCATTATGCTATTTAACCAGTTATAAAGGTTGCACACAAACGTTTTACTCATGCATCTAGTTGAACATTAGTTTTAGGCACTTAAGAATGCTGAATAGCGGTCAAGAAAGTGGAACAGTTAACATACCCATATGACCAAACTGCTGCATGCGGAGGATTCAGTTGAGATTATAGGTGGACGCCCTGTAATTAACTCCAGGAGCATGACTCCAAAAGAAAAGATGTCGGACTTATCTGAGGTCTTTCCACTCTGTGCATACTCTGGGGCCAGATACCTGCAAGACGTCAGCTTTATCAAATACATGAAGAAATTGTGATCAGGAAATGTAGGTTTTACCCTGTTAGTTTTTACGTGGTCCATCTACCTGAAGCTGTGTAATCCAGAAATCATTACTAATCATGAAGTAGCTTAAGTTCTACAGTTTCCAAAATCCAAGCCCCTCTCCTTAACCCCCCAAACCCCCTCTTTCCCCAATCAGTGTTGGTAAGGGAAAATCAAGGACTAAGAAACCCAACACTATCAGACACGGGAAAACAGCAGTAACATCCCATGCGCTCTTCTCATCCTCCGACTAGCAGGAAAACTTCGGTTATAACTCTGAGAGGAATCACTGCATTATGAGCAGGTTGACCTAAAATCGAGGTCATGCAAGTCATCAATGTCTTTAAAATCCCCAGATTTGAGAGTCCCATTCTAGCTCGATTTTCTATAGGTATCTGATATAGATATCAGTTTGCAAGTTGGATGAAACAAAGTTAACATGGGAAGGGCATAGCCTATGCTACGTATGAGGTTAGCCCAAAAAAATGAATATTATTAACGCTAGAACGAGGGAAGCACCACTTTTTACTTGATAAAAGTAGAAGAGACTGGTCCACTCAGTATGGTGACCTGTATATAGTAATTTTGCTTGATCTAGTCAATTTTTTTCCTTCTGATATCTAATTCATGGTAGCAGAGACAGGATCAATAAAACTCACCCAAAAGTTCCCACCACTCTAGTGGAGATATGACTGACATGATGGTTTGAATCAGATAAGAACTTGGCAAGTCCAAAGTCCGCAACCTGGATACAAATCAAAGTTCCCATTCATGTTAAATAACTTGCGAGGAAATATGTTCTTAGTTGTCACATGAAAATTAAAGAAACAAAAAGCAGAATCAATAATGCAGTTAACATTTGCACCTGAGTAGATGCTCATTTGGGTTCAAATTAATCTCATCATATGGATTTTATTGTTAAGAACAAAAAACTATTTACATCAACAGTGGATTCTAGGTGTACTCAGAAGCCAGTTGTCGATAATAGAAAACAGCCCGACCTTTCTTTGATAGTAAAGATAGAACAGAAAATAGTTCTCAAAAAAAATAAAAAAACAGTTCTCAAAAAAAAGAACAGAAAATATAGTGGCAATACCAAAAAGCGAAACACAAAGTTACCTTAGCTTCAAAGTTAGAATCAAGAAGAATATTAGCTGCCTTGATATCACGATGAATGATAGTGGGGTTACCTGCAGCCACAAGTTAGTATCTTCAGAGAACGATTACCTGTTGTTGCTACATCAAAAGAAGTGATATTTATTCTATTCAAGCTAATTCAAGCAACCACAATTAAATTGTCCTACAGAGCGCAAAGATACGTTGACATCTATATTAAATTGGTAGTAGTGGAAGAAAATATACTAAAACTATTTGATTTCATATTTGACAGGAAAGAACATGGCATATAAAATTATATGGGGAAAGTACAGTTTGCCTGATGCATATTCATGTTATATCTTTCACAATTTAGGAATTATTATGGCCTTCTGCTATCCATTAGCAGACCCTAGAACCGAGGTATTCAGCTCTCAAATCTCGAGGAGATTCAGAAATGGTATTATAGAAGTGAGGATCAATGGTATCTATTGGGAGGGAGAAAATTAGATTTACATCCTTTTCAGGAGAAAAAGTGAAGATAGATATGTGATGAAAACCATTATGTTACCCAACTTGTCACAATCTACAAACACACTAACAAGAGTTCCCTGTGGAAACATGTTCAACATTGTTAAAAAGCATCCAGGCCACTTAATATTCAATTTACCCCTTTGGACACCTCTAGTCAACTAATGGACGAACATGCAAATTAAGAACAAACATAGGAAGCCAAGACAGAGATGAAGCGCACTCACAGTCTTCATGCAGATAAGCCAATCCTTTGGCTGACCCTATAGCAATTTTCATTCTAGATGCCCATTTCATCGTGGATTGTGCCTCCCCTGCATATCATACAATCTGTTCTAAATAGCATCTTGGTAGAAAGACCTTTATATCAGAGGAACTTATGGAAACTCTATTCAATCGGATATTTAGAAGTGATCAGAGAAGTATAAACTGATACAAGAGCATTTCTGTAAAACAAAAGTTCAAAAGAAAACATGCATCAGGGTGGATAGGAACATTCTTTATACAAACCTTAAAACAGATGATGAAACAAATCACACATCTAAAATGTGGTACTTATGAAAGATCCTCCATCAAATGTACCTCACATGAAGTGTGTTAAAATAATACACCATAAGGGTATAGAAAAGTATGTGGAAAATTGCAAATGAAGTGCCTGGGACAGCAGAAGTCAGAAGATATTAAATGCTGGTCTTTCCAAAAGCATAGAAATAGCAGTGCTTTACCATGCAAGATTAAAGGGCTTGGGTTACAGAAGTAGCATGTATTTGCAAGCTCTTCTTTTACCTTCTCATGTTAAAAACCATGGTTTGATGAAATTCTAGGCCACCTTTTTGTGGTATAGGCATATACCACGAGGAATCTTACTTAAAAGGCTTGGTTAAGTACCCCCTTAAAGATTGTCCATTTAACATGGAACTCATAACTCGTGAGGTGTATTTTACATGCTTTTCAAAATCAATACAGTGAAACTAAGCTGCATTAAGGAAGCCCCCGTTAAGGTAGATTTATTTTAACCTTAATTATCAACTCTCTGCTGTACAAATATTAGCATAATTCAAAAAATGCCTTAAGCTGGTCACAAAATCTTATTGATACAGGATTCGACCAACAACCAGAATTAAGGAAAAAGAGAAAGAACATACCATGTAAATGATACTCTAAGGTCCTGTTGGAAACAAATTCGTAAACAAGCAATCTCTTTGTTCCATTCATGCAGTATCCAACCAAAGACACAAGATGTTTATGATGCACTCGGCTAATAGTCTCTACTTCTGCTTGAAATTCACGCTCCCCTTGATGGCTACCAACCTTCAACTGTTTAACTGCAATTTCTCTTCCAGTAGGGAGGACTCCTTTGTGTACATACCCAAATCCACCTTCACCTAGAAGGTTGGATGTAGAGAATCCACTAGTTGCTAACCACAGCTCTTCATATGTGAAATTGCCACCCGAAACAGCTAAATCCACTATGTGGTCTTTTGGTGAAAAATGACTGCCAGCTTCTGAATTAAGGGAATTGGAATGAGCATTGTTGTCAAAGAAGTGAAGTGGGCGGAATGGTGTCACTTGCTTTGGGGAAACAGGAGAACCATTTGCTACATTCTGCTGTCTAAAACTTTGACGCAGAACATGGTACAAGTCATCTGATGAATCGACCGAAACAATTAGCAAATGAATATACCAAGTTGAACTCATACTGGTTAGTAAACAGCTTTTTTGAACTTATGTTGATAGATTAAACTGCTAAATTTCATAATATCAACAATTTGGACCCCATTCTAAATGCAAATTGCAATCAATGAAAACAAGCTCTGAACAAGGAGCCTCTTAAAACAAGATTTAAGCATTATATCTGGTCAGACGGAGAAAGTTTCACATTTAAGAGATTAATGTCCAAACTGTCACATTTCCAGAATGGCATGGCATGTTTAAAAGCATAAGATCCTATAGATACTTTTGGTATGTGACATATACTCGATTATGTCTCAAAAAGTCCCTTTTTCTTCTTAAAACTCCGTAGTCCATACACATTCAAACACAATCATATAAAATGAACATAAGAAGTATAAAATTTAAGAAATGATAATTGTCTGTCACAATGAATTTAGAAACATAAGTCACTAATTTCATTACTAGTAAATTTTTAAAGAAGTTACTATTAAATTGTACGAGGAAAAAATAGCAATTTGGATCACTAATTTTCAATAGTTGAATTTAGAGATAAAGTCACCACTCCTACTAAATCATAAAACAAAATAATGATAAATTTAAATAGTAATTAAATCATCTTTGATCTTGTTGTACAAGAACAAGGGTGATATTCAGGATTGTACCAGTTATAGGGATATCAAGTTGTTAGTTGACCCACACTATGAAAGTTTGGGAGAGAGTGGTGGAGATGAGGTTGAGGAGGGGTGTATCTATCAGCGAGAACCAATTTGGACTTATCGTAGGGCTTTCAACTACAGAAGCCATACATCTCGTTAGGCGATTAATCGAGCAGTTTAGGGAGAGAAAGAGGACTTACATATGATGTTCATTGACGTAGAAAAAGCTTACAACAACGTCATTAGAGGGTTCTTTGGTGATGTTTGGAGGCTAAAGGTGTACCTGAGGCTTATATTAGGGAAAGTAAGGACATGTATGATAGTACCAAGACACGAGTCAGGACAATAGGAGGAAACTCAGGTCTCTTCCCAATCATGATGAGGTTGCATCAGGATAAACTCTTAATCTATTTCTTTTTGCTTTGGTGATGGATCAACTGACGTGGCATATCCAAGGAGAGGTGCCATGGTGTATACTATTTGCAGAGGACATAGTTTTGATTAACGAGGCATAAAACAGAGTCAACAATATATTAAAGGTTTGGAGACAGACCCAGGAGTCTAAGGGGTTCGGATTGAGTAGGACCAAGACTGAATACTTAGAGTTTAAGTTCATGACATATCCACATGGAAGATGTAGAAGTAAGGATTAATACACCAGTCACCCCCAAGAAAGAAAGTTTCAAGTATCTAGGGTCAATAATTCAAGGAAATGGGGAGATTGACTATGAAGTTACACATCCTCGTGAAGCGGGGTGGAAGAAATGGAAGCTAGCACCTTTTGTCTTGTATGATAAGAATGTGCCACCAATCCTTAAAAGGTAAGTGTTATGGAGTGGTGGTAGACTAGTTATGTAGTAAGGGGCAGAGTGTTGACCAATCAAGAACTCGCACGTCCAAAAAATGAGAGTAGCTGAAATGAGGATGTTGGGATGGATGTGTGGGCATATAGGAGAAATAGGATCAAGAACAAAGTTATTCAAGAAAAAGGCAGGAGTGGCCTCCATGGTAGTGAGGGAGCGAGGCTGAGATGATTCGGGTATGTGAAAAGAAAATGTACGCCGCAGCGATGAGGTGCGAGCAAGGGCGGACCCACCCTATGTCAAGGAGTGTCAACCGACACTGCTTCGATGAAAATTTTTAGTATTATATAATTATATCTAAAAATCTGAAAACTCAAATATAAGTAGAAAAAATATTAATGACACTACTTGAACAGCTTCCTTGGCTTATTGGTTTACTGCGTGCAGATGGTGTAGTCATTCTCTAAAGTGTGGCCGAGTTCGACCCTCAACAAGCCCAAATTTGAGTTATATTTTGGGGCCTTTTTAGATAAAAGTAAGTGTTATAGGGATTTGAACCTCCAACCTTCAATTCCTATTCAAAATCAGGATAAGATAAACCAATTGAACTAAAATACAATTTATATCCTATTATAGAAATTTGATTACTTGTCCAAAATAGAATAGGACACAATAATAAGCTGTAGTAGTTTACTTGATTTATTTTTATTAGTATGCTTTAAATAATTTTTATAATTTTTTTTTTTATGAAGTAAGGAGATTTCATTAGAAGGCATCAAGAAGATGCAAGGCAAAAAATTACAGCAAATGAAGGGGTCTGCTCCTGTACAAGATATTAATATAATGTTGCTATATCAATTATTTATTTTTAAATACCGACATGCCTTACAAAAAATCTTGCGTACCTCACTGGGTGTGAGAGGTTGGTTGTAGTGGGTATAAGCATAGGTAGAGCCGTAGAGGTGGGCAGGCCGAAGAAGTCTTTGGGAGAGGTGATTTGAGAAGGCATGGCTCACCTACAGCTTATCGCAGACATGATCTTAGATAGAAAGATATGAAGATCAATGATTAAGTTAGAAGGTTAGTAGTAGTTGAGCGTTGTCTAATTCCCTTATTAGTATTGTTATATTATTACCCTCTTACTAATTTTTTTCTTCGACTTTAGCAGTACCTATTATTTCCTTTGCTTCAATTATTGTGTTATTTGATGTAGCTACTTGTTCTCTTCTTAATTTTTTTTTCTTAAAGGCAAGGGAAATTCACAGAAGCTACCCTTTGAGCGCTCACAGGGTAAAACTCTTACTCCTATGCAATAGCTCGCAAACCACACAGGAGAGGTAACTTGCATTAAGCAACCCTGGTGTGACAAAGCCCTTGCTTTTGCTTGCAAGGGATTTCAAACTTGAGACCTCGAACATGGAAGTTCCAAGTACAAACCACTGGGTCACCCCGGGCACCTAATTTTTTACTGTATTTGCTTAAATACTTGATATTTGAAATGATTACTCGAACCGAGTATCTAGTGGAAAAAGTCTCTCTATCTTCACAAGCAAGGTAAGGCTGCATATACATCGCATTCCCTAAACCCCACTTGTGGGATATTATACTGGGTACGTTGTTGTATCGAAATCATCTTTGGCGAAATAAAATTCAGGCGAAGTGAAGTACTTAACCCTGAAACGTCATTTCTTTGCAAAATATCAAGCTAGCAAGGTAATCAATTACTGAAGATAAACAGAACATTGAAAGCTTCATGAGCAAAGAAAAATATTTTCTGGTTAAGTGAAACACATTTCCCCTGAAAAAGCAGCTTTAGTTGTTACTGTATATATTACTGATTCAACTACTGTATCAAACTGAAAAAGCTTTACCTTTTGGCAGTGGAGATTCACGATCACGTAATTTTCCACATTTAAGCTTATTCCTGCAACACACGAAGAGTATAATTGCAACAATGAAGAAAGCTCCGGTAACGCCTACAGAAATTCCAATTACAGATCCGATTGATGCACTTGACAACGGCGATTGAACTTTAATCGACGAAGTTTCATCTCTAGAAACTGGTGCAGAAGAACCATTCACAGGAAACATTAACGCCGTTACCGGAGGCGGTGGTAACGTAAGTTTCGGAAGAAGCTTCGGTAACGGATGAGTATATATCGGCCGCCGTGGCGGTGGATGTAAAGCGATTTTATCATCAATAGGTTTAATTATTGGCTTTAACGACGCGTTCGGTGATGACGGCGAAGGCGGCAGTGGTGAATGTGTAAAATTAATGACTGTTGGCGGCGGTTTAGGAATGGCTCTTGAAGTGATACCATTTTTGGCTTCCGACGACGGCGACGGGAACGGTGAGTGTGGATGCATAGGAGTTATGGAGTGAAGTGAGAAATGCATGAAGAAGAAGGTGATTATGAGGTAATTAATTAATATTTATAATTAGTTCCTAATACAACTGCTTAAGTAGTGGACTTGAGAAAGTAGAAACCCCCAGTAAGTACACTACTAATTATTAGTATCACGTTAATTACTGTATTCGTTTTATTTATTTATTTATTTATTTTGTTTTTTTCTTTCTTTTTTTATTCGTTTTTTTTATAGGCATATAATAAACGTGTTATATTCCTTCATTTTTATTTTTTTTACATAGTAGATACTTAACAGAGTTGAATTATTGAAAACACATGTATCCTACCTGGCAATTTGAGTAGTATGTGGTATCCTATATACTCTCATTCTAGTTTCTACGTATATTATGTCATATATGACCTTGTTTAACTTTATACAAATTTAAATATTTATTTATATCCATCCAAAATTAAAACACATAAATATTATCTGAAACTAAATTTAAAACTCTTTTAAATCGTCCACAATTGGAAAAAAAGTAATTTGAAATCTTGTTCAACTTTATACAAATTTAAATATTTATGTATATGTATCCAAGATTAAAACACATAAACATCACCTGAAATTAAATTTAAAACTCTTTTAAATCGTCTACAATTGGAGAAAAAAAAGTAACTTGAAATCTTGTTCAATTTTATACAAATTTAAATATTTATTTATATGCATCCAAAGTTAAAACACATAAATATCATCTGAAATTTAATTTAAAACTCTTTTAAATCGTCCACAATTGGAAAAAAAGTAACTTGAAATCTTGTTCAATTTTATACAAATTTAAATATTTATTTATATGCATCCAAAGTTAAAACACATAAATATCATCTGAAATTTAATTTAAAACTCTTTTAAATCGTCCACAATTGGAAAAAAAGTAACTTGAAATTTTGTTGTGGCATTTTATTTTAAGATAAACTTTAGATTTTTGAATTTTGCCGGTATTAGCTTGTTTGCATTATCTGCCTCAAAAAGATCAAGATCGTGTAAGATTGTTGGAAGTAAAATTGGCTAAATATATTCCTTGATCTAAGCAGATATATCATCATTAAAGAAAATAATATATATATACTTGCTTTTAACAAATTGGATATATTTATTCTTTTAGTTGACAAATCTATATTTTCTAAATTAAAAGGCTTTTAAACTGACTTTTTAATCTCAAAAATGTTGTGTGGTGTTAAAAAATTACCTCACCTAAATGAAAGAAAAAAAATACAATGGATTTTCGGGGTTTTGAGTAATAAAAGAAAAAAGATGAGGTAATTTTGAAAGTCCTGGCGAGTTTTTGAAATTAAAAAACCAATTTTAGATTATATTTTTATTCAATATGTTAACGAAAAGAGGTAAATATGCACTATTCGTTAGACGACAAATAATATATATACCCTTTTTCCTTACATAAATGGCTAAGTTTGTGATAGGCTTGCAAGCCATATTAACTAAATCAATTCATGATAGAAATATCATTATGCTCATCCAAATGTGTTGGCTAACTGAACAAAACAATTACCCTATAAATGATACTGAATGGCTAAACAAAATCTATTCAACATGTAAAATCTGATGTTAAATTGATACATCCTATCCACACAAAAATTAACAAAACTGTACTTGTAAAATTTAGTCTAATAAAAATCTGCGAAAATGGCCGTTCGTCATTGAGCTGATTTGCTTTACTCAATAAGCAATTTAATAGTACATGTTTTTGTAAAAGAAAACTTCCCTTGATCTCAACAGGAGTCACTTTTTATTGTTCTGTGCATCCGGTTCACTAGAAATTCCACTCAGCATCCATATCAAAGCAACGCCAATTAGGGCACCAGAGAGATGTGCAATGTGATTAACACTTTGTAAGGCGGATCCTCCATGAATACCTCCTGCTAATCCTGTTGAAGCTTGGGCTGCTTCCATCACCTGGATATATTCAGTGCCAACACGAACAGAGGTCAAGTTCCTTCCATACGATAAAAAAGTTGAATAGAAACTTGGGAAGAATAAGAAGCATTCATTGAATTTATGTTTCATTACTAGGGTCCAGGAGTAGTTGGTTTGCCAAACACAGAGAGCTTTGGCATTTTTCTTCTCTAAGTTCCACCTTATACCAAAACTGAATTTGGTATCTCCACTAGCTTCCCCCTCCCTCATTTCTATTACTCCGATATTAGAAATTCAAGTTTAAGCAATAATTTTAGCTCTAACAATGCAACTTCATCTTCTAGGATTATGAAATAAGGTGGGATAACTAGTAAATACTGAATTTATACTTCGAGAGATGTCATTGGCCAAATATGATATGATATGACAGTTGGGAAATCACAGAAATCTACAGTAGTTCATAATCTGTCATTCAGATGAGGAGTTTCATTTGAAAACTAACACATGTAGTGTGGGAGAGTGAATTATCAAGTTTTGGGTGCCTTAAAGATCGATTATGACTAAAATGGAAGAGAACTAGCTTTTTTTAGATAACAATCCACGTAGTATTTTTGTCTCTGCTGGGATTTGAACCTGAGAGCTCATGGTTCTCGACCCACTTCATTGACCACTAGGTCACACCCTTGGGTGCACAGAAGAGTACTTAATTACAGATAGTTAGAACCTTTTCAATAAACATTTTTATAATTGTTACTAAACTAAAATAAGAAAGAAACAGTCATATCGTCACAGCCTTGTGAAAGCAATTGACCTAGAACTTCGCATTGAAGTGTAAATGTGCTTATAACCCATTAAATTTGGGAAACAATTTAATGTTTTGTGCTATAACCCTTGTAAATATATGTAGTAACCCTAGTAGACTGATTTGTCCAACAATTAAGCTATGTCATGACAGAAATTTGACATGAATCTAACTGACTTGAATAAGTAACAAGGTCACGTATGATTGATTAGGTTTCAATTAGCGGGAAAGAGCGGAGAGGATACCCTTTCTATAACAAACTGTCCCAATACAAGTACTTCAAGAATCTTTCTCCAGTCCCAAGACATCTGCAGTTAAACCAAGATGGTTAGACTGGTTTACCAATCAAGCGCAACAGTATACTGTCGACCTACGTCAATCTACACACACAGACATTGATATAAACTGAGGCACATTAACAAATGCAATAAACAAGAGATGCAGAAATCACCTTCACAAGTACACTAATAGCAAAGAGTCCAAACACTGCACCAGAGGCACCAACAGAAACAGCATTTCTTGGAAGAATCAACCATGAGACAAGGTTAGCTCCAGCCCCAGTTAATATATAAGAAAGCCACAATCCAAAGTTTCCTTCCTCCTCTTCAACGAGTTTTCCTGGAAGCTTAAAGTAGGTTAACGTCTATGATTATCATCTGCTATCAAGTAGAAAATTTATCCTAAAGTATAACAAGAAACAGAAGTCTTACCAAAAATATACAAAAAGAAAAGGTTGCTTGAGAGGTGGTTCCTGTTTAGTAAAATGCAGATGAAAAACAAAACAATTAGACAGAAGTGATAAACAAAACAAGAGAGAAAGCAACTGATAATTCCGCTGGACTATGGTTATTTTACTTTTCCATTTCTAGTATTTGTAAGAACAACTTAAAAACTCTACATTCTCACCAGTTAAAATGACAGAATGTTGCAGTCACAAACTGGTACCAAGCAGGCCGATTGTGGTATAAGTATAATGCTCTTACTGCCCGAACCTGATATAATCACTTTTTTCTATTAGATCCTTTTATTCCAGCGGACAAGAGTAACATTATCTTCACAGAATCCAGGTGGATAACACCCTTCAGAAGGCTGAGTGCCACTATACATGTTCAATTGCTGATCTCTCATCATGCCACCCATCATGTTCAATGGAACTCACCAGCCCTGGTCCAACTTACCAGGGTTGGGTGAATGTTCAATAGCAAACTGAATAAAACGAATCATAAATATTCGTTGTGCAAGTTTTCTTGACACCATCGAATTAAATATATTCAACGAAAGCTGCAATAAAGGGGGAAAAGCAATTTCCAAACCTGGAAGACATGATCTGCTACATATATTCCCAGGTTAAGAAGTAGAATCCAGAAAATCCCATTGACACGCTTGTCTGGCTTCTTCCTTTCAGGCTTCAGAATCTCCAGCTGTGAGGTCATATCTAATAAAGGTGTCATTTAACAGCTTAATATGTTACCTTAGCGGTATTCATCAAACATGTTAAATTAAAAATAGCAACTCAATTGAACACGGAGAATACACGAGCAACCAATCCTAGATAAACTCAGGCCACATATGACACAGAAGGAAATAGATTCATGTTTGAACTGTAGAGGAAAATATCTTAATTGCCTTTGTAACTCCACAAACCTCTTCTCTCCACTCCAAATATCTTAATTGGTTCATACATAGATGTGGAGGCACAAAAGACGCCCAAAGAATTCAAGCTTTACTTATCCATTCAACCGACACCAGTACTCTCTTTGTGCCCCAAAAATCTCTTAAAGATCGAAGTTGTGACTATGGGTGTGTTTGGTATGGAGAAAATATTTTGCTATTTTTTCATGTTCGGTTAGTCAAAAATTTTGGAAAACATTTTCTCTACGAAAATGACTTCCCTAATAGATGGAAAACAAGCTACAGAAGTGACATTCCACATTGATGGTGTCCTCTCCCCCTTCCAACACACCTCATTTACACTCCCACCTCGCCAAATCCAAAATCCCTCATTGTTGTTTATATCTAATAGCCCCTTGTATTTTTTACAGGACCTGGAATCATTAGCCACTTCTTTCAAAACTCTTTAAGGGGAATGTAGGAAAAAGATACACAACAACAACAACAACAAACATACCCAGTAAAAAAGATGCAATTTTTTCTTTATTTTAGGTTTCAAAAGACAGTAACTGTCAACAAAAATCGAGAGATAATTGCAATTCCTGTCTTACGTTGACTAACAATCAGTACAATTCGACAGATAAATAAACCCATTTTTTACTGAGTGGGGTTTGAGATTCTCCCACTAATCATTAACTTAATAAATGATACAAAAAAGGAAGATAGAGGTGTTACCGGAATCATTGAATTTACAGAGAAGACGAGTAGAGGAGATTGGAACAATAGGTGAAGTTTTGAGTTTAAGGGGAAGGGTTGGAAGAGGGATTAATGGAGGTGTAGATAGCGGCATCGCCATGGGCATGAAAACATTGTGTTTAAGGCCCAGATGGTACTGATACTGATACTGAAGCTGAAGCTGTTTCATCACCGGAAAATCAAGAATGTAAGAGGCAGCTTATCGGTTTTTTATATCTCCTCCATTTACACGCCTGTCGTGTCTCAATTTTCACCTCTATCTTCTTCTTCTTTTTTTAAATTGTGTTCGATATTTATTTTGAAATTCCACTTAGGCTGAAAAGTTCCATATTAAGGATAAAGCCTTCTAACAAATGCGACAATTTGTCTAAGAAACTCAAACTCAAAATCTGACAAATGAGTATTCAACATTCTACCACAATATGTTAGGCCAGAGCAGGTATATGTTACCAGACCGCTTTAGGAATTATTTAAAACGTATTCAGAATTTTCAAAATATTTGAAATTTGGCCAAAAAATAACAAATTACATACTCTCCACCTCTTTAGGTTTGCTAGTTCCTATAGGTGGGTTACTCTAGTGCAAGGTGAAGTGCACAACATGTCCCTTTCGAGATTACTATTTATATTTTGTCTCTTTAAAGAAAAAAATAATTAAATATAACTCATTCGCTATAGCGTCACAAAAAACAAACATTTATTCTATCACTTTCAGATAATTTTAGATTAAGTAGTCTAAGATTTTTCTCGTTACATTTTTACTAAGATCTAAAGTACTTCTAAACTTCTTCTAAATTTGAGTGAAACATTTTATATAAGTACTTTAGACCATATAGTATAAAGTTTGTTCATAAAACTTTTATAGTTGTTCGATAATTTAGACAAAGTATCGTGAAGTTTAATCATAATTTTTCTTGTCAATCTATACAAAATATTCTAAAGTTTGATAATAAATTTTTTGTAGTTTCTCTACCCCTTTAACCATCATATCTAGAATTTCTAGTGAACTTGAATGAAGCTTGCTTGCATGAAGCGAGAAGTTATAATTGCAAACTTAAAAAGGAACAAATATAAATGATGACTTAAAATTAGAAGACACACTTGATGAAATTTCTAGAGTAAGTCCAAGACTTTACCAAGCCCAAACACTTAAATTTCTATATAACTTACATAAAGTTCATAGTGTAAGGCTTAAATTACATTATATCTCTACTTTTTTTCTATTTTATAAAAATTCCCTAAAATATTAGTCATCCGAATACATAATTGGTTGTACGGATACATTATTGATTGTCCGGATACATTAATGTTGCCCTACAATAAGTGTCAATCTGTTGCACTAAAACAAGAAATAAATCTGAAAATCTAATTAAATCCCATAAACAACGCTTACGTTTCTTTTTACTATCAATTAGACAAATTTAATATATGTATTAATGTGCTTCATATTTATTGTATCAGATATATAGCTGCAACAAACTTTTGATGGTAACATTTTTGTATCACTATTTATGAATTTGATACATATTTGTGTGGCACTTTAATGTATCATATATATATATATATATATATATATATACAAGTTAAAAAGTATCATATGCATTATTGTGTGTCAAGATCGCTATTATGTAGTCATGACACGCTGTTATGTATCAATTTGTTAATCACTTTATTAGATGTCTATCTATAATAGAAAAAGACAGTATTGACGGATTCAGATACAATTTTTTTTACCACACATATTTAGCTATGAAAATAGCAAGGTTTATGTATCACGCATATGATTTGGTAGTGTGTACAGATACACATCCTTCTAAATTTGAATAAGGTAGAAGATACATAGTCACACCTAGATACATGATAAATGATACATTTGGTAGAAGTTTTGTGTCAAGTATCAAAACTAATTAAGGTTATGTATCAAAACTAATATTTGAACATGATATATTGTGCATGATAAAATTGTAATGTATCTTAGTGTTGAAAAAAAGGCATTATACATTAATTAAGAAACAAATTAACTTAATACAATAAAAATCTAGTTAATGTATCACAAATTATAGTCGAAAGATAATTTAGTAATTTGAACACGATACATTGTACATGATGAAATTGTAATGTATCATAATGTTGAAACGAAAGTGTTATACATTAATTTAAGAAACAAAAACAGCTGGATACATTAAAAAATTGAACCCATATATATCAGAAAAAGATGAACAAGAAAAAATCGGAAAAAAAAATCAACAATCTGATCTGTTTCGACTTCTCCTTCTCAACATTCACTTTAGAAGACGAATGTACATCCACTTTTTTCTACATTCACTTTAAAAGATGAATGTACATCCTTCTTCCCCTTCTCCTTCTCAACATTCACTCTAGTATCCTATTTTCACTATTAATAATGACGTCACCCATGGATCTCGATCCGAATTCCTTACCAAAGCCCACCAATAGATCGACTTTTTTCGCTTTTTGAGCCTTTTTTCCACTGTCGATTTAGAAGTTGAAGATGCTTCCTTCTTCAAGTAATTGAGTAAGCCCAATTTTGAAATATGGACTTTTATCCATATGTATCAGCGATTTTTTAAGATGAAAAACTAAAAAAAATATTTGAAAACTAAAGTTGTGGAAAGAGATCTACCTCTTGAATAACTAAAAATCATTAATTAGAAAGAGAAAAGATTTGAAATTCAAAAATGGATTAATGGGGTAATTGTGGAAAAATTTGTGGCGTGAAAAGGGGAGCAAAAAATCGTGGGAATCGAAAGTTGGAGAAGAAGAAAAGGATGGGAGAGATTTATGGAGTGAAATCAGAAAGTGATAAACATGGGTTTGGGGAGTGGGAGTGAGTGGAAGTTATTATCCGGTAGTTTTGTGTTACACTCAAAAATAAGGGATTTTGAATTTTTTTAGAAATGGTAGGGAATAATGGAAATTATGGGGGGGAAAAGGTGTGTATATAAGTAATTTTTCCTAAATTTCTAACGAAAGTACACAAATAATCCGTTTAAGGGGGGATCATTTTAAACATATATAATTGATTTTTAAAATTATTAAAGTTTAGTAACTCTATAATAGGTAATTGTTACTAAAAAAATCCTAAATTAAATACAAATAAACTTTAAGAACACATAGAGAAAGAAACATAGACCGACTAAATTTACCAAGGAAGAAAGAGAGACTAAAAAAGAAGAAAAACTTATCTAAAGCATGTCTTACGTATAAGTAATTTGAATAATTAATTTGGAGACAAACAGTTAAGCCTCAACAACTATGAATTCAGTCAATTAATAATCATCCAAATAGTTTGATGTTGTTTTACTTTCATTGTGGTATCTGTATTAATTGTAAAGTCTTGTTGGTATCGAATCGATCTGCCGGATAGTGAATCACTGGTCAAAGAGCGACCAACCACCAAACATAATGATTTGGTGGGATCTATAAATTTTGAGGATGGTGAATTGTTTCTTCTTCTTTCCCAAAGATTCAAACAAAATCGAGTTTGGATGTAACTAAACAAGATTTGACATATGAATACAAAGGTTAAAGGCTTAATTAAAGGTTACTTAGTAGCCATTTCAAGTTTCATTACTTTTCTTCCATTCCATCATAGAAGGAAAATGATATTGAAGAATCGATTCATCATTTAGATATTTAACCTCAAAAGACAAATATTGTGATGTTCTAACAAATAGTATATCAAACACTTGATAAGAGAAATTCCCTAAATAAACCAAAGAGAATACTTACTTTTATAATTGTCTAACACTCTGTTTGAATCATTGTTACTCATTGTATTGTATTGTATCGTTACTATACCTACAATGTTTGTTTTGATTGTTACTTAAAATGTATTGTATTGTATTGTATTATTAAATTTCGTTGTTATGTAACAATGAAAACCCCTATTTTATGGAACAACAGATTTGGTGTGTTCTCATTGTTACTTAATTTCTTTTTTCAATTATATCTTTACATAATATTTCAAAATACTATTTTACCCTTCACCTTATATTATTAAATTCTAGACAAACCTCTTACCCTAGAATAATTAAGGATATTTTAGTAAATTTATAAATTATAATACAGTACGATACAATCAAACCAAACAATTAAAATATTATTAAACAACAACAAACAATACAGTCTAGTCAAATATTGTATCTAACCTACAGTACAGTACAATACAATAGAGTACAATATAATACAATACAATATATTATGAAACAATGGGTAACAATGATCCAATAGTGTATGGGGACCCTTTTTTTGAACTTTCTCATTATGGGTGGTAAAATGGTCAACAAAGTAGGAATTGTTAGTCAACTCTATACCTACTTTTAAGATCTTGAAATAAATTACTTTATTATAGAATGTGTTGTTTTTGCCACCTATTGTTATTATGCAAGTTTTAAGAAATTAAATCGTTTGTTAGGAAAAGAGTTGAACCATTTCAATGCATAGTCAAGAAAAGGTCGGTTAACGCTCATTTGAATCAATTTTTAGTTTGACTTTGTTAGCTAATTACAGATTTTTCACCTAACTCTTTCTAAACCCTGCATGGGTGTATACAGTACAATAGCCAAGAGATAGACACCTGTTAAATTAAACTATAAAATTAACAGTTAACACCTTCGATCTAGAAAAATACTATGAAAAGTGAAAACAGGATGGTGGGATGGGGGAGGTATACATGAGGTGACGTGAAATGAGGTGCATTAGAGGGTGGGGATAGATACAATGAATGAAAAATGCAATTCAAAGAACTTGTTTTTTCTATTTCTACATGAGAAGTCAGTTTCATTATTATTAAGAAACTCGTTTTTTTTAAAGAAAATGTTTTTTAAATTTCTTTTGACCAATTGAACATGAAAAAAATGGCTTCAGTGGCTTAGATAAGGATCATGAAATGTACTTCAGTGGCTCTTTTAAAAGCTTTATTGATCGTTTGGGGATTAATTAAAGTTATGTAAGTATTAGTAATGTAGGAATTAACTAGGTAAGATTTAGTTATTCTATTTGTTACTCAGTATAAACTCATAATTTAAACATGTTTTAATTATATGTGGGATGATAAATTAATAAGCATATGCTAAATTTTATACATAGCAACTGAAATATTAATTATGCTAATTTAAATACATAAATAATTTATGACTTCCTAGCTAACGAGCAATCAAAACGATCCTCCTTAAGTAAGTAATGAATTTTTTTAAAACATGTGGTCTAAATAAGTATGGAATCTATGGCTATAAATGATACTCATTAAAAATAAAATAAAGATTTTAAAGTTAAATTTATTGATTATTCTTTTATACTAGTAGTCGTAGTAGTATTACTCTTGTACTTTGAGTATCGTGTCACTATTTAATATTTTTTGCACTTTGAGAATTGTATTATTTTCTTATAGTTACATATTTTTCCTTTTTTTAGTATATGATCTATTATACTTCTATTAATATCTTTCTTTGCTTCTTTACTTCCATTTTTTTCCTTTTTTACAACACTTTTACTTGAACCAAATTAAAGGTTATCGAAAGTAACTTTTGTATCTCTTCAAGGTAAGGATAAAGTCTATATACACATTAATTTTTTTAGACTTCACTTGTGAGATTACACTGAATTGTTATGGTAGATCGTCACTAAAATAGAAAAATAATATTATTTTTTCTCGAATATATACATACTAAAAAGTAAAGTATGTCAGAGAAGAACAATACATTAATTATCATAAGAAGACAAATGAAATTATCTTATGTAAGTGATAAAAGAGCACTTACACCTATAAATACCCTTTCTAACTAGCCACTATTATCATCACAAATTAAACCAACTTTTGGCTCATCTTTTAGAATTAAACACCAACAACAACAAGATCATCATATTCATTCTTCATGGAATACTCAACAAGTAGTCTCATCAACTCATTTCAACCCAAAGAAAAACACACAACCTTATTCAACCACCAAATTTCAGCCAGAATCCGTCTAGCAACAGAACTAGACGTCCCTAATCTTCACAAACTTGTAACACAAATGGCAGAATACCATGGCCTATCACAAATATTCACTACCACAGAAACATCACTTTACAACAATTTATTCAAATCACCAAATCCACCTTTTCATTCTCCAACAGCCCTCATCTTAGAAATATCTCCCAACCCTTTCCCTCAAACAAACCATACTACTACTACGAATTTCGTCCCTATTATCAAGAACAATTACAATTTTGATAATTTAGAAATCCTGGACCACGAACTCGAGACTTATAGGTCCAAATTTAATGGTCATGGTCATGATAATAGTAATAATTGTAACGTTTATGTAGCGGGGCATGTACTTGTTTATCCTAGCTATAATGGTTTTTTTGAGAAGCCTGGATTATTTTTAGACCAAATGTTTGTGAGGAAGTGTTATAGAGGGATGAAGTTTGGGAAATTGTTGTTTTCTGCTGTTGCAATGCAAGCTGAGAAAATGGGAATGGGGATGGTTGATTGGCTTGTGGCTAATTGGAATGAAGAAACTATTAATTTCTATGAGAAAATGGGAGCTCATTATATTCCTGAATATAGGCTTTGTAAATTGTATGGTGATCAACTTCAAGCATTTGGTAAGAAATCCGATTGATTAGCCGAGGGTTTATCAGAAATAAATTTTCTATCACCATAAAATAGGGATAACATATTATCCTCTTAGATCTCATTGGTGGAATCATACTGTCTATGTTATTGTTGTTGTAATTGGTGTAGGTTTTTAAGCACACCGTGCCTTGTTTTTCGTATGTACTTAATTAGCTCATGTTTCTACGATCTTAATTTGTATTATGTTTATTGGAAATATTATAGTGATGTTACGTGATTGACTTCTTGGGAAAAATCTAGTGACACAAATCAGGGTTATGTTGTTTAAGATTTTTTTTGTTAGGAATGTGTCTCAACTGCATATCTATTCTTTAAGGAAAATGAAGAAAAAAAATTATACTCCCTCTATTTCAATATACTTGTGGTGTTTTTTATTTACACATACTTCGAGAAAATACTAATTAGAATTAACGTTTGACTAAATATATATATATAGAGAGACAAATATAGTACAAACAATGTAAAAAAAAATACATTTTCTAATTGAGAATTGTTTTACTTACAAATAGATGAATCCAGAGCATAAGATAATTTATATTCATGTTGTTTTATTTAAATAAATATTTTAAGACTGGTTTAGAGTCACCACTTAATTTTAAAGTAAAATTAAGAAAACTGTTGTTTTCAAAACACCAAAACAGAAAATCTAATGAAAACTTAAAAGTGGTTTGGGGTTCTTATTAGCATTTCAGGAAGGGTTCGAAAGCACCCGAAATACCGGCTAATACGCGGTTATCCGATAATTAATTATTTGACTAAAATAATTTAACTTAACTTAAATTGCAAAATTGAACTATTTTATGGTTAGAACTATTTTAAAGGGGGAAAAGGGGAATTATTTAAATATTATCTAAGTGAGCTATCTTGCAATATTACTTCTTTAAGTCTTGTTAAGAAATGACTGATTTAGTTAATTTTTTAAAGTGAAATGGACGTCTTTCGGGGATTGAATTGTTGATCTTAAGATTAATGACAAATATTAACAAGTAAATAAACACAATAAAACAAAGAGGGAAAGAGATTTGGGCCCAAATCTGATTTTTCTGTCCGCTTGAGCCAGTATTTGGGCCCATTTTCGTTTTGGGTCTTTGACCCATTTGAATCACATTTACCTGTCCTAAACTAACATAAAAAGAAACATTTTTTTCCTTTGGGCCTTAGGCCCAATTTTTCACCTGTCCTAGGAACTAACAAGTATAGCAAATAAGTGGACTTAGACCCAAAATAACAAAATACAAATTGTTTTTGGAATTAAGAGCGGGCCTTTGGCCCAATCTTTTCAATTTCTCGATCCGTTGCTTCCTTTAACTTCTGGACCTATTCGTCAATTTTTATGAGTTGATAGAATCGATGAAGGCGGAATTTAAGCCTTTACGGTTCTCCCGCAATGCAAGAAGAAGATGTGGAGTCTGATGGACTCAATCGAGGGAGTTCATGGAAAGATGATAAGAATTAGGATAAAGAATAATATATACAAATCTACTAGATGACAGGCAAATTCAATATAAGGAACTACCATTTCAAAGTTAGCACATCCAGAATCTAGACACACTAAAAAAAAGGAACTTTTTGACGTAGGAACATAATAAATAAATAAGAAAAAAGGCAATTTGACAAGTGCTGAAACAGTAAGCACGTTCGCACAAATCAATAAGAACCAAAAGGAGACACTTTCCCAAACTGGTCACTTAAATATGCTTGAAAGAAAACAAATACATGACAAAACAATTTTACTTAAACTGATCACATGGACTATTTTCCTTTCCTTTTTAGGATGAAGACATAATTTAAGCATAGTAGTTGAAACAAACAAAATCAACTAAATGCCCCAGAATTGCCATAGTAACAAACACTTGGTATATTTTAAAATACCCATAGAAGTTGGCAAAATATTTTGATATTAGTGACTAAATATACATAAACGAGCTAATCGGCATGATGGCAATTTCCTTATTCTAAACAATGGCTTAACGTTTCTAAAAAAAAGGAAAACAAAATCACTTCAACAACAAGATCAAGCACAACTGGACAGATTTAAAACAAAGTTAACCGACTCGAAAATATCTCAAATTCCTACCTTAAGAGAAAATGATACAATAGCCACCAAAACTTCAAGTCAAGTAGATGAATCAAAGATTTGACCATTTTTTATTTTTACCAGCACACTTAAACAAGTTTTAGGCTACGTTCTGAAATTTACGCTAAACCTTAGACAAGACATGAATAAAGAAACATCTAAGAGAACAAGTGAGAACTTCGAGCAAAGTTCAAGCAGAGAATCCAGTCCAACCATCCGCTTAATTTAAATGAAAACAATCATAGGCATGGTAGAATTTATACAACGAAAAAGTCAAGGTGAATACGACATGACCAACAAGCCAACTCTTTAAGTACAGGGAAGCATAAACTAGAGTGCAACATGTCATGCTAATAGTAGAACGATCATGGGATTTAAAAATGAAGAGAACAAGCTACTGGATCAACGAGTCATGGCCGAAATAACATGCAAATTTCATATTTACTTAGTAAAAAAAATCTGCTCCCATTTTTTTAAAGAAAACTACATTAACCGACCAAAAAAGGGGTTAAATAGCAGCCACGAGAGTTATTTCAGCTATCTTCACCTACATCGAGCTAGAGTGAATAACCAAAAACCGTAGAGAGTGAATAAAAATGTGAAAATCAAAAGAAAACTAGAGTACAAAACCATAGAATTTTCAGCTTTTAGTTTACTAGAAAAGGTTCATTGTTACTTTGAACAACTAAGAGGCATTGATTCAAGATCGAACGACCTTTCAACATACAAAGCCATTAACAAAGAAAAGAACAAAAGAAATTTTTTTTTAAAAAAAGAAACCAGACCAACAGCCTATTTCATTTCACCAAAACAGAACTCAGATAAAGAATTGGGATTTCGGATAACTTTACCTTTTTAGGCGCAACGAGCTGAGACGAAGAGCTGGGAGGGCAACAACGAGTTCCACCACACGACTTCGAAAAGTTCCGAAGGTTCCAACAAGTCTCCAAGCAACCCACAAATTCCGAAGGTTCCAACAAGTTTCCAAGCAACCCACAAACAAAGAAAAAAATGAAAGGATTTGGGTGTGTTTCTAAAATATCTTTTGTGGCTTAGGAGTTTCTTTGAATTGTGAATTTTTTTTCAACTCTTCTTTTCTAAGTATTTGTGTATAAGTGTCTTAACCAGTAGCTTTGGTGTTTCTCCAAGATTCCAAAAAAAAAAATCCCCCCTACAATGAATAAGAAAGGGTATTATATAGATAGGAAATCAGGGCAAAATCTGGAGTGAGAAAACGGACAAAAATCCAAATTCAAGGCCCATTTTTTGAATTCAAAACTCCCTAAAATCTTTCACCAATTCAGACCAACACCATTTCCTGAGATTTTCGCCCCATTCCGAGAGAGGAAAGGGGGGTGGACGCCTGGGATTGATTTGTTCGTCCTTGGGCGCAACGTAGATCGATCCCACAAGCCCAAGGATTGATGTTGCGCCCCGTTTTTCTCAAAACGGACTTTCCTTTCAGATGCACGACCTAACAACTCTTTTGGGTTTTGGAGCAATTGAAGAGTCGCCACCTAACGATTTAAGGCGCGTTAGGGCACCTATCTAACCTAGCTAAATTTAACTAAGGTCGACGAACCAGAGATCAGGGTAAGGGTTCAAATTACCGTCGGGGGGAAGGTGTTAGGCATCCCTCGAGGTCCATAAATGTGGGTCCCGACCGTGTCTCATGCAATTTATGTGGGGGTTACAAGTAGCAAGTATGGTCACTTCATTTGTTTATTTAGTTAAAATATGCGAAATTAGGTGACAGAATAAATAAGCATTAAACAATTAAGGTCACTTCATTATTTAGGTTATTTAACTTAAACATGTTTACTAAGTGATAGATGACATTCAATAATTAAAGTTACTTCAGTAATTTATCTAGTATGCGAACTAGGTGATATAATAAATAAGAATTAAACAGATATTAAACAATTAATAAAGAGATAAGCAAGGAGACAAAATATGCGCAAATAGATGTAGAAGATAATTCGGTTTTTATTTTTTAATCTACCCCAAGCAAGCATAAGATGTGCAAAATATAAAGTTTTGAAAATTAAGCAAATTATGAATAGAATTTTTTTTCTATTTTTCTTTAAAATGTTTGTTTCTTTATAGGGATGATACCACGATATTATTAATCGCGCTCCTCCACCATAGAAACAATTTTAGTTTGAGGTCGGTCTTAGAAAATTAATAGTAATTTATTTTTTGAAGATGATTGAAAGATTTAGTTTACACATAAGCACATAAACATTTACATATAAATACACATAACCCTTTTGAAAAATCTTAGGTAGGTAGTGCTCCCGAGGACGCGTCGGCTTAATTAAAAATTGAAATTAGACCTCGTAATCCTTTTATTTCCCACTAACTATAGGTTAGGAGATAGCATTTTTATATAATTATTTTTAAAAATAAAAATAAAAAATATCATGTCCCAATCCCCAAATTTTGAAATAAAAGAATGAACAATAATTTTTGACAATGAACAAAAAAACATAATGATATTTTTTATTAAAAAACAGGCAGAAAATAACTCAAATGAAACAACAAAGGATCGCCAATGCAAAATTTATTTTAAGCAGCAGACATTTTATTAAATGCAGAATTATATTAGTAGCTGATTTTAAATGGTAAAGCAGCATGCATAAATTAATTATCAGTTGATTTTTTAAAGGCAGAACGAGTAGTTACAATGCGGAATTGATTATGTCAAGCAGGTTAATATGCAAAAAAAAAAAAAGAATTATTGATTACTTTTATTTATTTATTTATTTTCTTTCTTTTAAGCGATAGTACTTAATGCATCACAGAGTAATGACACAATACATAGCAAAAAAAGTAGTTTCGTTATTTAACATGCTGGAGATTAGTTGATTTACTAATTCATAAACATATCAAAATTGCAACAGACATATGACTAGTCCAGTTTAAAGAACCTAAAATTGATTTACAATTCCAGATTTTAGTGACATGCTGAAAATTGATTCATAAACCTATATACATGATCTCTAAGTGTTTGAAAGATTGAAAATATATAGCTCCTATAGGCATGATTTCTACACACTAATGACATATTAAGAAATATTTAAATCCTATAGACATGCATTTCTAAGTACTAATTGTTCAAACAAACATATAGGCATGCTTCTA